ATTATTAGGGGTCTACTAGATGGATTCCCGAGTTGTACTGATTTGAAGGATTTAAATGATATTAATTTATTATTTAAAGTTTGAGGATTTTTATTTTAAATTTCTTTCAGCGTATTATTAATTTATTCTTAATTCAGGTTTTTTTCTTACTTATTTACATATTAATTGTTTGGTATCCCTCGGATCTGTGCTCGGACTTGATCACCCGTGGCTCTAGAATCGAGGGGTATCACATATTGAAGATTGGATTTTTTGTTTTCTCCTAATTAAAGATTTGATCTTTAATTTGCTTATCTTACCACAAAGAACCAATACCAACAATTGACTATCAAAACTCCATGAGCTTGAATCAATTGTGTTCAAACTTGAATTGAAAAATCTTCTCTTCAATCCTTGCCACCCTTTCTTGAAGAGTAGCCTCAAATCTTACTCATTATATTATGCGGGGCATTAGTGTTGATAACATTTTTAGATAGTAATTTCCCAAGAAGACAATTCAAACACCATTCCACCCCTTTAGCCCTCCTTCATCAATCTGTTTAATGCAGGTGGGAAACTCTTTGATTGAAAAACATAGGGTTAACTACTTGAGAGAAAGAGACAGATTGGTTGAGGGTTAACCGAGAGAGAGAGAACATGGAGAGAAAAGAGAGAAAAAAATCTTGATTTGTTTTCTTACTTGTAAATGATTCTATCTTAATTAATTCTCTCTCCCAAATCCTTAAATATAGGAATCGTGTGGCTTATAAGCTCAAGCTGTTTATACTTTTTACGAGAGTTAATTTATTCTCTCCCCCAAATCCCTAAAAATCATAATCGTGTGATTTATAAGCTCGAGCTCTTTATACTTTTTGCGAGAGCGCTCTCGCAATAGCACTACTATTTATAATAATTGCTAAAAACTTCACGCTTAAAAATTCAGTTCTATAAGTTATCCAATATCTAAATATGGGCATGTTTCGAAGCTATTTTTGTTGCAGTGTTTAATGTTGTCATATTGTGTGGTGTAACGAAGATAAAATGGTTAATTTCACTGACACCCCCTTAGGTTTGGCCAAATATCACCTTGAAATATTTTTCAAAAAATATTATCACTTACACCCCAAATCACTTTTCCGTTACTAACACTGTTAAAATGTGTGTGGAATAACATTTTTACCCTCATTTTTTAATGCTTTTTATTTTAAAACCTATAAGGACAAAATTACCCCCATCATCCTTATCCTCACCCTCACTCACACATCCTCTCTTCCATTGCCAGATGAGTCAAACTTTCAGCTAATCTAATCAAATTAGAATAACTATTAAGAAAAAATCAAATCAACACAACATAATATACAATAACCAACAATTCACATAGATTAATCAAATACATCTTAGAAAAAGAAGAGAAACCCATTAATCAAAACCAGACTACATAATAAATAAGAATGATAGAGAAAAACAGACAATTGAAAGAAAAATTTATAGATTCATAGTTAAGAACAGTAGCAGGATTAAACTCCAAGAATGATAGAGAAATAATAAACTTGAAGGGGGATATTTCTCCTTCGCCACCGCCAAGTTCACCTTGCATTGTCGTGTCCCTCCTCCTCTACCATACCCTCAAACAACCCCTCAATTACCACAACTTCACCGGGATCCCCAATGCCGGCGAACCACTGAGTTCTTGTCTCCAAGAACGTCAACGGAGAGATGACCTTTGCCGAGATCAAGAAGTCAATTTGTTCGCTCTAAGAACTTCTGGGCTTTCACCTTTTTGATGAAGGCTAGGAAGCCGCTTCCAGATCAGTTCAATCTCTACACAGACACAGACACACACATACAGTATCTCTCAAAACCCTAATCCGAAACCCCATAATCATTTGTTCCTTCACAATCCTTAAACACCCACAGTAAAACTCAAAATTCAAATCCCAAATTGTTGATATTTTTCATCAATTTTCTTGGTTGTTTCTTGTTTTTTTTCCTTTATTTTTTCATTTTCTCTCAGGTTAGAGCATGGCGGCAGTGGTGTGTTCATGGCAGCAGCTGTTTGCCAACAATGTGATTCACGACGATAAATTCAAGGCACCATGATTGACGATAACCGTGATGGTATTTAGCACTTTTGCTATATATATATACACTATACATATTTAAATACCCTTTGACTTTGTCAAAAAAAACTTTAACCTAAAGAAATATACTAAAAGTCTAAACTTTCCCTAAATGTTTTGCAAATATACAATATTATTGTATATTTGCAAAACATTTAGGGAAAGTTTAGACTTTTAGTATATTTCTTTAGGTTAAAGTTTTTTTTGACAAAGTCAAAGGGTATTTAATTCATTATGTATAGTATCAGATATCTAAAGATAATAGTTGGGGTGTAAGTGAAAAACGGAACAAATGTTTGTAGCATAAGTGACAATAATTTTCGAAAGTTATTTCAAGATGATATTTGATCAAACTTGATGGGGGTGTCAATAAAATTAACCCAAGGTAAAAAGATCGCAACACATTTTGAATTGTACCTCGAAAAGAGACCCTAATAGGCTAATATGAAACAAAAAGTTGATATTTCTTAATATTTTCGCATTGCAGTAAATATAGGCGGCCCTTTTTTCATGCAACATTTTATAAAACATGTTTTCCTATTTTTACTTTTAAAAATCTTACATTCTAGAAATTTTTTTTTTTTTTTTTTTTTGTTGAAAATTAAAATTATAGAAATTCAATCACATGAAACCATAAATATTTTTGTGGAAGAATTGAACATTATTTCAAATATTATTGTTCAGACTTCAGACTTCAAATAGTCCTCTTATTTCATATGGCATACATGTAAATAACCAGGAAAAAGTGATATTTTGTGAGATCTAGTCAAAAGAAGTAAATTGCAGTAAAATAAATGTAAATATGATAAGGAAGTAAAATATTATACTATGTATTTAATTAAATAAATATACTTAATAATATAATGGCCACAACACATCTAATACCTACTCCGTACCTCCGTGACTAAAAGGGCCAAAAGTATCTGAAGTCCTAAACCATTAATTCAACAATCAACCATCCCAATAGACCGAGGAAAACAGACATCAATAAATAGTGAGGTAATATTACACTGATGAACTTCTCTGACGCTTAGTTAACTTTTTGGTAATTTTACCCTTTTATCACGATTATTTTTATTGTTAAAATAATAAAATTCTAGATATGTCAAATTACCCTATTGTCCTTTAATCAGTGATAGGTGGAGAGAGAAGTGAAGAGAAAGAAGGGTATTTTTTTCCATGCAAATACGGCATTTAAAAAAAAAAATATTTGATAGCAATCTAACTCTAATAGTGACTTTTTAATGAGCATTTTGATCATTACAACTAATTTTGGTGATGTGCAAACCACCTTGTTGCTGATTGCACGCGACTTTCCTTGCACAATCACACTTTTAATTAATTAGGATTCTTAAAATTTCACACTAATTAATTAGAGTGAAGAGATACGGCTCTTTGATGGGGTAATAAAAATTCACAATCAAGGTTATGTCTAAGTGTAACGGGTGGGCACTTACCCATTTACCCAAAAGCTCGAACTATTGGGTAGTGCTGCATACCCACCCATTTATACCCAATCACTTTCCCATCCGATTTCGATGTGGGACAAATGACCCCTGTTACATTCTCCCCCACCCAAACTCGCAACGCCCTCGTTGCGATTCGGGCCACCCTGCCTACCCGGAATGTTAGCCCGGACGCCTTCCGGGTCGGGTGCTTGGCGTGACACCGGATCAAGGACTGGGTCTGATACCAACTGAAACGGGTGGGCGCTTGCCAATTTATCCAAAAGCTCGAACTATTGGGTAGTGCTGCATACCCACCCATTTATACCCATGCCACTTCCCATCCGGATCCGATGTGGGACAAGTTTCCCCTTGTAACATTCTCCCCCACCCGAACTCGCAACGAGGGCGTTGCGGTCAGGCCACCCTGCCTACCCGGGATGGCTCACCCGGACGCCTTTCGGGCCGGGCGCTTGGCGTGGCACCAGATCAAGGACTGGGTCTGGCTCTGATACCAACTGTAACCGGTGGGCGCTTACCCATTTACCTAAAAGCTCGAACTATTAGATAATGCTGCATACCCACCCATTTATACCTAATCACTTTCCCATCCGATTCCGATGTGGGACAAATGACCCTTGTTATACCAAGTCACTAGACATCCGGGTTAACCATTACAAAATCAAGCCCGTATTTAGTACGGCTCCTTGATGGGGTAACAAAAATCAATCAACTACTTTACTCTTCTTTTTCCTTTTTTTTTTTTTTTTTTTTTGAGAGAGAGAACCAACATCTGGAGATTGAAAGTTCATACTAAGGACAAAATTTAATGAAAGTGTGTTTGTTTTAAAAAAAAAAAAAAATGAGACTTCCTCTCTTAATAAATACAATGAGTCGTATATTTTTGTGGTTTCTTCTATTAGGTGCGATTTAAATTGATAAGGCAAATATTCATGCAACACATTCATATAATATATTACATCACAATTCAACATCACAGCATTGAGTACGTATTATTATTACATCATGAGTTTAATTGCACTCTAAAATACACAATACACAAAAATATATTGAATAATTAAATTTCTAGTCAAACCTTTCTCTTGAACTTCGCACAGCACAATGCAGATTCAGCTACATTATTATATGATTCAAGTGTACAAATTCAATTGATGACACTTTATCATTAATTATTATAAAATTAAAAAAAAAAAAAAAAAAAAAAAAAACCGTTTACTTTTAGTAGATTTTACCACTAATCAATTTTTATGTTACGGAGTAATATTTTATCGCCACGACGTCATTTACTTCAATGGGTTGTACCGGTAACACCCGCCAAAAACGGTACGCGCCACTTTTTCTGCTGTAGAAACGTGTAGACCACTCGCTATGTGCGCGCGTGAAACTAATATCCATTCACCCAACAACACTCACCTACACTAAAAAGCGGCCGAAAATCCTCTTTCTCTCTCTCTAAAATCAATAATGGCCAACTGAGAAACTTAGGGCGCAATGGCCAGATTAGGTTGTATTCAGAAGGAAACTCCAACCATAATTCACCTTTATCCACATCTTTAATTCTCATGGTGGTAGGTGACTCAAAGCAAAGAATAAACTTTTCTACGCCATCATTTTTCATCTTTTTTTCAATTTGTTTCTTTTAATCCTATAAAAGGGTTTGATTATACAGCTCAGATCCTCATCCAACTTTACTATAATTGATGGGTTCTCTTCTTCTCTTTAATATACTGTAGATTTTATTTCAAAACTTTACCTTCTCATTGGTTGTGTTCTTTTCATTATACAGTGTCTTTATATATATATATATATATATATATTTGATGTTCTTGTTCTTTACTCTTTATACCAATCATGTCTTAATCAACCCCACCACTTATTCTTGCTCTCCAATTTGGTCTAATCTTGCACGCCAACATTCTCTGTGTGCTTATCTTTTGGTGCAGAGTATTTGGCCTTTCACCGACTTTGTTGTGGGTAAGAAATTTAATGCTCTCTTTCTTCATTTGGCTTCTGGTTTGTAAATTTTTCAGTTTTTCTTATTAATTACTACTGTGAGACTTGGGTGTTCGAAATTTTTTGCTGCTTTGTTTGTGATTGAAGTTGTTATGGTACTCTTGTTTGACCAGTGAGGTGTTTGGTGCACGAATTGTTGCTTTTCAATGGCGGAATTGGTTGGGCCTCGGTTGTACAGCTGCTATAAATGTCGAAATCATGTTTCGCTTCACGACGATATAATTTCTAAGGCTTTTCAGGTGAAACACTCTAATCTGTGCACACCATTGTTGAATTCTTAGGATACAAATGATTGTAGTGCCTCTTTCTCAGCATTTTAGTGGTTTGTTTTCGGTTTTGTGAAATTAGATAGTGTGTTGTTAATTTAGTGTAGACTTGTACTTAATCATTGGATTGAGAAGCGTTTGCCATTGGATTACACTTTTCTTGTTTGAAAATATAGTTGATAATATGGACCTAATAGAGTTGATCATATGGACCGTTCAATTCATAGACGTAGATCTCAGACCTATGAATGGGATATTCCCGAAACTCACAGAAAACTGTGAGCGGAGTGATACAAAAAGAAAAGCAATTCGAGAGAAACCAACCCTTCTTGAAAATGATGTTTCAACTAAATGATTTAGGCTCTGTTTGGCGAGCTTCTTTATTTTCAAAATCGTTCCACTTAATGGGCTTTGCAAAATGCATTTTAATGGAAGGAATTTAAAGAAAAAAAGTTGTTTGGTGGATGTATTTTTAAAAAAATTCTTTTGACTAAACACAATTTAACTTGACAATTTTATCCTTAATTATCATGAATAGTACAAACTTGATAGCATAGTTGAATTAATCGAGATTTAGCAAGGAAAAATATATATATATATATATATCTATATATATATATATATATAATTAGAGTAATGGAGTGAAAATCAGAGATGATAGAGCAATAATTAATTGGCACATCAATGTTGTCATACTTTTATTATAGATACATTGCAGATCACCATTACTGACAAAGTGAAGATCAACGTATACATATCGATAGAAGTTGAAGGGAAAAAAATAAAACGGCAAGACAAATTGTAGCAGTTTAGCATAATTATTCAAACTGACTTTCATTCTTATTTCTAGTTATATTAAAACCCTAACTGAAAATCTATTATATATATATATATATTGAGAGTTAGAAACGTTGTTCAAAATTCTATGGAGAGTTGAACTTTTTTGGATTTTTGGATGAGAGTTCAGATATCTTTATAACTCTTTTGCTCCTTGATTAATCAATAGGAAATTTTTTTTGCAAATCCTCCACGTCTTGTGTTCTTTCCTTTTAAATTTAGGATAAAATTGTATAAAAATTGTTACTTAAAATTAGCATATGACTTTCCTAGAAATCAGTTCCAAAAGCGAGTTTTTCGAGCTTTGCTTGAATGGACTTTTTAGGACTTTGACGTTTGTTGGAATTCCTTTTATCTTAGTTAAGCAAACACTCAATACTTTTTTGTAAAAGGGCTTCATAGGCTTGGGGAAGCCCGTTTGAAGCTATCAGAAAGCTCAGCCAAATAGGCTCTTAATATCTTGACTTCGACTCTTCAATTCATAGACACGTAGATGTCGGAACACTGAATGGGGATATTCAGATCGGGAACTCACAAAATAAAACTAGAGAGAAACCTACCCTTCTTGAAAATGATGTTGCAACTTATGTAAACCGATGTTTGAACTATATGTTTTTAAGATTTTCTGAATTCATATCATAAGGAGGGAGGGAGCTTTGTTTTCTTATATCTGAAATGTTTCAATAGTTTTAAAGCTTTATTTATTATTACATTTTTATTTTTATTTTTAAATTATTATTGTTATTTATTTTTTGCATCTTTTTTAATAGCATGTGTGCAATTGTTTTATCTGAGTTTTGACTTTGATAGAAGTTTTGGGCATGTTTGTGTTCAACCTTCTTCCATAATGTTGATAATAGGGGAAAAATGGCCGAGCATTTCTGTTCTCCCACGCAATGAACGTTGTTACTGGACCCAAAGAGGACAGGCATCTCTTAACTGGTCTTCATACAGTTGCCGATACCTACTGTGGTGACTGCCGAGAGGTGTTGGGTTGGAAGTATGAACGAGCTTATGAGGCAGCGCAGAAGTACAAGGAGGGGAAGTTCATACTCGAGAAAGCAAAAATTGTTAAGGAAAACTGGTAGCCTCATATCAAAGCCCCTATTCAATCCGTAACAAAATCTCAACGTTGTATAAGTGTCTTGATTCTTCCTAATTACCCGCCTTGAACAGAAATCAGTCACACAAAAACAAATATTTGCCATTGCTCTGATCTTTGCACTCTTACCATCTTCTATGTCTGGAAGTGTACAGGACTAATAATTCCTTTGTTAATAAAATTGTGATATTATTCTCATCTCCAATACCTTATTTGATAGTTATCTTCTGGTTTTTAAGGGTTTTTTTATTTGATGCATGGTAGCATAGTTCTCGAAGCCATACAGGTTGTTATGCAAACAATCGCGGACTTCAGAAAACATGAAGAGAATAAATTCCTTCGAGTGGTGTCATCAGGGTGCTTCTTACAGTAAGTATGGATTTATTTACTCGTAAAAGGTCATTTTAAGATTCGAAAACTCTTTAAAAATATTATTACAGTAAGTATGGATTTATTTACAGTAAGTATGGATTTATTTTTTTTAATATTTTAAAAAAAATATTATTGCATGGACCATTTCTCCAAGTTATCACCATCAGTCGAGAAAAAAGAACCGCTTGATTAGTGATGATAGGGTGGCAGGATATTATCCCTTCGATTTGTACAGGAAAGCACAGCACAAGGCTTTGTAGAGGAGAGGATCTCATCCTGATTCAGCAATGTTTGATATAACAGGCTAGCAAACTACATATCATTCCTGTTCCAACATGATAGAGAGACTAATCTCTTCTCTTCAATGCAAATCCATAATGAATTTTGTGCATCCCATTCCCGTCAGTAATCATCTGTTTTTCAAGCTAAATCACACCTCCTCCCTCCTTCAAAAGCATACAAATTTGAAAACATAATATGGTTTTTGATGCTATCCGATTCCAACCAAAACAACATTGCCATGGATAAAACAGCCTCCAGGATAGGTACCCAACATCAGTGATTCAGCTACATGGACAATTTGTTTTTCAACTTACAACCTAAACAAGAAGCACAGAGAATAATTCTACCCTCAGTTATCTTTATAGACAGACGAGTCCGAAATATGATTTCAACAGCAAAGGATGTTGAACACCATTGATAATATCGAATATACATCATTGTCAAAAAACAATAAAAAAGGGTGGCTTGCCCTTCACTTGTTGCAGATGAGCCACTATGGTAAATAAACTGAAAATAATTCTTCAAAAGAAACAAATGCAGTATAAAAACCGAAGTTGAAAAGGGTAAAACTTCCCATAAGAAGCATGATGCTGCTTGACTACTACCATAAATCATTTTGGCCTTCAACTCACTCCTTCAGCTTACATACATCGATGAATTTTTGCACTGCATTGTGATATTGGGTTCCCTGTAACAATATTTTGCAGAAAATACGAGTTAGGAGTGATTCCTATCTTACACATAATCTAACTGAATAATAGAATAAAACTAAATAAGTGAGGACTAATTCGGCTTAGCATATACTACAGTATTTAAATTACATGCGGTATATTGAATACTATGATACATGTTGCAGGTTGGTTTCAACCGATATATCCAGAAGGCGACCATGCAGGCAACTATGGAGGGCTCGTGTAGTCCGTATATGAGATGTCCAACTGTAGGCACTACCTCATCCCATCATGTGATGGAAGATTATACCCATCCAATAATAAAGCAGGAAATAGACCATCAAGGAGAGGATTGGATGATAGTGTTCTAATCAGATTGTATACTCCCAAGAATTTAGGATAACCGCTGACACAAGTCGGTACAACCCCATAACTAAGGTAGACAATCGTCACAATCCAACAGTATGATTTCTCCATTGCAAATGATGGAAGCCATGACAAGTGAAAGATGCGGGGACTACAGCTCTTCTGGCGAAGAACAAAGCATGGCCGTTTTCAAGGAAATTAGGGCACATAGAATCATGTCAGAAAGTACCACAAAGTTCTTGCATACACAAACATTCATATTTGTACACTTTTTACTCTATGGACAGCATATCATTATGAAGTCAGCTTAACAAACATCAAGTCACGGGCCCTAATGCCTTTAGCATCAATGCTGCTATTCACTTATATTTTAATTTTACGCCATCAAACAAAATTTCACAGTTACACTACCCATCTCTTCTTGAAGCTTGTAAACACCATTAATGCCCCTTGGACCTCTACTCCAAAATCACAGGCCAGTAAATCTATTTGGTCATATACATACCTTTAATTAGGTGGTTACACGTGGCAAACTTGTCATTCTCCAACATGTAAAACACCAGAAAATCCCTTCTAACATAACAACTCCGTAAGAGAGAAATTTATATGGGATCTTCTGCAATTTTATGCCTGAAATGCCTAGGTTCGTATGGCCACAGGTCCACAGTCCTCAGCTCCTCAAGAATATGTATAGAGTGCGATGGCATAAAAGTAATGATCTTAATTTAGAAATAAGTTAACAAAACGTCATGAAGATATTGATTTTTAATATGGTACCTCCCAGTAAAGTTGGTTGCAGTCCATGCACTGCCAAAACTCTAAATTCTTGTCAAATAAACAGTTGGGAATCACTTGGAATCCCTTTGCTGCTTCAACAGCCTCATCAGTTGTTAGTGGTTTTTGAATGAATCTCCCATTGCATTTCGTGCACCTCGACATTAGCTGATCCTCACAAATTTTCAGTTGGAAAGTTTCAATTACCTGCAAGAATTCCTAAATTTTCAGCTACCACAATATTGGATCACTTTGATCGACAAGATGGAAAGGTATATTTTGAACAAACAATAATTAATTTACCAAAGACTTTGAAAAGTATAAACTGTTAAATCCACCATATGTAGGAAGCATATATGCAAATGTTGGACGGAAGATTTATATTAATTGCCCCAACCACAGAAATCTTCTATGCAATAAATTACTTGCAGGATCATGTAATTCCTTAATTTAATGATGACCTACAATTTTTCCCTTTCATCTTTCTTGGTGTATGTGGGGGGTGCGTGTTGGGGACATGAGGGTGGGGGGATTAGGCAACAGTTGCATGTCAGATGTGTACCAATAAATATTGAATGCATACCTCAAGTAGCTGTTCATTTTTTAGAAGACTCTTCACCCTATATATTTGATTTTTTATCAGATATTCATGTCTCAGAAGCTTGGCATCTCGTGTGAGGAGCACCCTCTTCTCTTTCTGTGCTTGGTCGATTAAATCCCTAATCACAATGAAAACAAATAAAGGACGAAGTTACAGTTCTAGTAGAAAATATACTTTAAATTTACATGATTTTAACTTATTTTAATCACATTAACAAAATAATAATTCATTGAAATTAATAAGAAGAACCACACCTTGTTTGAGGCTTTTTTACATTTGGAACTGCAGCATTGAGTCCAACACATCGTAAATGTTTTGCCAAGCCTTCAACCTGAGTGGATATTTCATGAGCCTAGCACTAATAATAGAACACAATCTTTTAAGTCCTACTATTCATTAACGATCACATAGATAGAGAAAATATTTTATCATAAGACATTGATATGAGAACCAGCCTTCCCAAAAACCTAAACTGATAATTTCAAAGAAAGTAGTGTATTCATAAATACGATAACATATGATCACATCAAATGCCACCACTTACCATCACATCGCATAAAAACTTTGGGCATCCATCACCACCCAATGACAAATCCCATGGTGGGGGCCCTTGCCAATCGTCAACATTCTCCAATCGCTTTTCTTTGCATATCAACCCCACAGATGATTGTCTTTTCCCTTTCTTTTTGGATGTTTTAGGCTTTCTGTCAGAATCCTTTAGTATAATTTTATCACCATATTTCCTAATGATCTGAAAGAGAGAATCATCCATGGGTATGGTATACATGCATGACACCCTGGAAACAACTCCATCCACAATTGGAATTCTTAGGGAAAATTCAGAAGTAGTAGTAGCTCGGACTATCTCCAAAGCATCACCAAATTTGGTTCTCAAAATTTGGTTACAACTACTAGGCTTCTCAAAAATCTCTTTCAACCCATGATCCAAATTAGAGAAATGGAGTTTACTGTTGTTGTGAAAAGATTTCCCTGAAATGAACAATCCAAGAAAATTTAAATGCTCAACTGGAACACTATAATAGAACTAGACAAGACAGGAAAAAAAATAAAAAAATAAAAACCAAACAGAGGGAAAAAAAAAAGATGGAATTTCAAGGTCAAGCATGGTCTGCACTGAGCTATTGGTTCTATGTTTGACAATTTACTTGATTTGTTAGCTTTCTTGGCATCATACCCCCAATGCAGGGCAATATTTATAGGGGAACAACATAAATTTGGACTGCTCATAATTATTTGGAAATTAAATTGTGCAAGTGAAAATTACAAGGATTGTAAGGTGGGAATATTTTTCCATCATATTACAAGGGCGCCACAATAAAATGCAGGTGGTTCAAGGGATGACGACTAATCAAAAATACTTGATATGAATGTAAGACTAAACAAATTCTTAAGCCAGCCATTGCAATTCTGCTCAATCCTCTTAATGGTACGACTCACTAAGAGGTGCTAATGCCAAATCCAGACTCGAAACCTTAGCCAATGCCCAAATTCAAATAAGTTTAAACAGTTTAAAATGTTAAGCATCACAAACCTTCTTTTATAACTTTGACCTGGAAGACATTAAATATTTCAAGCAAACATTGTGCATCTGCTGCTGCATATGTTTTTTGATCTTCTGTAAGAGGACGAAGTGACCAATCACTACATTGAAGATCCTAAAAGAATATATAATTATGTTAAATTTTTTATAACAGGGTATTTTTAAAACTACAATTTAGTCTCAGTAAAACAACCAGAATCCAAGAAACATGTCTCCAAAAGATAGACTCAAACTCAGGTTAAACTCTTCGGAAACACAATATATGGGTGTTAATGAACTGAACCTTTGAAAGAAAAATGCCCAACACTTCCTCACAAATAGTTGCCAAGCTCTTTGTTTCCTTTGGTATCTTTCTTCCCGGTGGTTTCTGTTGTAGAAAATTGTATATGCTTGTAATGTCTAAAAAGGGTTCCACCTATATACCATTTTTCAGCAAAAATAAACTATGATGTTATTGCTGAAATAAGTACAATATATCTCCAACAGTAATCCAGCTTACAGATGGATACATTAAATAAATCAAGATAAATAATTGGTTCAATAAACCAGATTCATGTAATTACAACTACAGCTCAACAAATTTTTCCCACGGTATTTATGGTTTATAAATTTTACCCACGGTATCCGATGTCCATACTTTGTTTCTGTTGCTGGGTATCTCATTTAAAGGGGCATAAATTGAATAATGAACAAGTATTGCGACATGGTGAGCTTCATTTATTACAAGTTCACTGTTGATTTAACCCTGATTACATTTCATGAATAAGTTATTTTACCCATCGGGGAAGAAAAAACCAACTCAACAAAGCCTCAAATTGCAACAGCTTCAAATAGTTACAGATTCTTTATTGACATTCAACTCCAAAGATTTAGTACAATTGTATGTCCATTATATAATTTGATTGCTTTATATATAAATTCTATCATAAATAACTATTAAACTTATATGACAACAAATATGTAGCTCTCCAAGAATATCTTCATATGAAATTGATCAAATGGATGTGTAGTTTACCTTACTTTGACTTGGGAACATATGTTGGTTGTGTGTATGTCTAAGAATTGGTTTATCAGATCTCCAAACATAAGGACACAAGAACATGACTAAAATTTGATAATTTTTTAGTTTTTAGTTTTATTTATTTATTTATTTATTATTTATTTATTTTTCTCTATGATAATGGTTTTCCATGTGACATAATAATCAATATTGACACACCACTCATTTAGAAATAATAATGTAATGAAGGGAACATGATAATAGAGTTTTCTGAACAATTACATAGCAAACTTGGACAATTGCTTGCCAGGTGGATATCCAATCAGACATATTGGGCTCATAGCCATTAACCATATCCAGATGTCATGTGTCATATAGATAGTACTTCACTCATTTAGAAGAGTACATAATACATGTTATGTATTACATGGACAATCACACAACATTAAATAGGTCAAAACTAGGAAATGTAAAAAGTAAAAGCACTTAATTTAGAAATGAGGTGTTTATTACTCAAAGCATAAAGGTTAATTCACTCACTGCTATGTTAAACGAGTCACCTTTTAACTAGGGGGAGAAAAAAAAAAAGAGTTTCATAAGTTTATATAAGTAACTCTGTTTGATACTTGAGTACTAGCAATTAAGCTCACTTTACAGTGGTTTGATCTAATGGTGTGGAGGCTCGAACCCCTTTTTCATTTTGGAGCCTCCTACCATCACAAAAGGCTGCCTTAGAAAACCATCCTTTCAATGCATGATAAGAACATCTTGAAAGGAAATGGAGAAAAAAATGTCTCTTTTACCCTCTCAATTTCTATCCTTCCATATGACAAAATCCAAACCCTGTTAGTGTCTTAGTTTCCATTATCTAATGTGTCGTGTTAGCTTCTGTTTTTAATTTTTTGTGTTTTTTTTTCTTTTTTGCTTTTTTGTTTTTTTGTTTTTGTTTTTTTTTTTTTTTTTTTTTTTTTTTTTTAACAATTTCAGCACGCCAGTAAGCAAATTTACATTCATTTCTCTCCACGCTTTAAAAATCAACAACAATAACAAGATAAACCACACTTGCTGAATGCAGTAAAATGAAAGATTACACTTTATCCATAAAGTTTCAGGTGGGTCTTGTAATGAACAACATTGATATCCTTCTCTCAGTCAAATGGACAAATAAAGCTTCTTCATGATTGATGAAGAATTAAATTCCATCCATTATCAAAACCACATTGATACAGTTTAAAGTATAAAATGTATGAACATGTCAATTTCTATTCAAATATGTGTAAACTTGCAATGAAATATTATCATTAATGTAACTAACACAGTTCATGTACAATACCTACCAAAAAAATAACAATAATTCAGGTCCAAAAAAAAAAATCTGGGATTTGTTTGGGATTTGTAATATATATATATAGTTTTAAGGGCTCCTATAAAATGAAGTTTAAGATTACAAATCCCAGATTTTTTTTTTTTTTTTTTTTTTTTCCTAAGAAACCAAACAAATAACGACTCACCCGATCGAAGCCAGGATCGCAGCCTTGAGAGCAGAAAGTAGAAGACAAATACACAAGATCTTGCTTGAATCGAAACCCTAGTTTCAGTATATTAGGCGAGACAAACACGTCCCTCAACAGCTCGTAGACTGAAGGTAGATGAATCGCTAACAGGTCGAGTAGAAACACAAGCGACTCGTCCTGCTGGTGAGTCGAATCGTCGCCGGCGAGTCGGCAAGCGATTTGGAGGAGCGAGACGGAAGGGAAGGTGGAGTTGCGGCCTCGGATGGGCTTCCACTCGGCGTCCAGTGCGATGACCGAGGAACGACTCAGTGCCCAACTCAGGTGAGTGAACTCGGGCGAGTCCGTGGAGGAGACCAAGTAAATAGTGAGTGGTTTTTGATCTTCGGGTTCCATTATGAAAGTGCAGTGTACTGCGCCCTCCAGTACCAAAATTGGCAAATTTATAGTTTTAGGCCATCTGTTGCTTGGGCCCAGTGTTGGGCTTGATATTTGTCAAATGGTAGAATACTATCAAAGAGGATTCAAATAGTATTTGATAACAATGGTGCATGTATTTTCTTTTTGTTTCTATTTTGCTGTTTTTCAATCGTGATAAATTCTTACATGTACATTTTAAAGAGCTAGTCTAATGCACGAGTCTTAATGTCATTGCAGAATTTGGGCTTCTGGGTAGGATTAGATGTAAACTATTTTATCTACGTATAAAGTGGTTGTTTCCTTATATCAAACGCATTATATTTCAGGCTCAATCAGGGCGGAGCTAGAAATTAAATCCAAAGGGGGCACAGTGGAAAAATAAAAATAAAAATCCAAAAACTCAATAAACGTAATTACAAATATAGATTATTCAAATCAAGGGCAAAGAAGAAAAAATCATTGCAAAAAGATAAGTAGTTGAAAAAAATAAAAATAAAAAATGAAAGAAATTTGAATGGGAAAAATAATTAGAGTTTGATTAAAAATAATAATAATAATAATAATAACTGTTTTAAGAAAATTAAATTAAATTAAAAAGTAAAAGAGGAAAGAAATAAACATTTAAGAGATAATTTTAGAAAATAAAAATTTTAGAGGGGCAATATATGAATTTTTTTATATATACACGAAAAAAAATATAAATTTAATATATATATATATTATAGTAGGGGGGCAAGGTGGCACGTGCCCCAGGTGGGCGGAGCCTCGCGCCAAACTATTTATATACAATCTGGATCGATTTAGGTAATTTTTTTGGCTTAGAATAAATAAAACTGTGTTCACTTCAAGTAGAAGGTTATAGGTTGAGTCTAGTACCAGTGAAGCCCAATTCTATAATCACTAATGGGCCTGGAGGAGTGGATAGATCCGCCGATTACGCACGAAGCTGAGACACGTGACACAACAACACGCTTTGGCGCCAAAAATTCATTTCCCGCGAAACCAAATTAACCAAATAAACGCGCGAAAGCCTCCCTCCTTCGCTCGTTAATTTCGGCAAATCTTATTTACCATCATCCCCATAGACACAACATACACACATCCGTATTCGTATACTCACACAACAAGAACTCTCTTTCTTTCTCACTCACACACACACACACACACTCTAACGCAATGGTTTCTACAACAGTGGTACACAGACGCAGAACTCAAGCTCCAAAGCCTCTCTCCTCCGAAACTCCACTGACGAGCACCACCTCCAGATCAAAGCGAGATTACACTGACACCTGCTGCGAGAGATGCGGGTCCGGCGACTTCGCCGACGAGCTTCTGTTGTGCGACAAATGTGACCGAGGGTTTCATCTATTCTGCATCAGACCCATCCTCGTTTCCGTCCCCAAAGGCTCTTGGTTCTGCTCCTCTTGCTCCAACCACCACAAACTCAAAAGTATGTTCATGGGTCTCTTCCAATTTTCCACATTTAATTGATTTATCGAAATTAGGTTAATGGGGTTTCTTCTAATTTTTCACATTTCATTGATTTATCAAAATTAGGTTTATGGGTTTCTTTAAATTTTTCACATCCCATTGATTTATAGAAATTAGGTTCATGGGTCTTTTCTAAAATTTTCACATTTCTTGATTTATCAAAACTCAAAGGTAGGTTAATGATTTTCTTCTAATTTTTCACATTTCATTGATTTATGTCATGATACATGCATTTTTCAATTTTATCCTTCTACAAAATTTCATAGAAATCGGAGGCTAAATCAATTCATTTCATCTATACCTGTCTTGCTCTTTGTATATATGTCATTAATTAATTGTGGGTATGTTATGATTAATGAATCTTATTACCTAATTTTTGGGTTTGGTTGTATCAATCTCACAAGAAAACATGTTTCTAATCTTCAGATTTTCCTATGGTTCAAACCAAAATCGTCGATTTCTTTCGCATTCAAAGGTCTTCGGAATCAATCCAGAAGCTTAGTCAAGGTAAAGGGCATTTGGGTGTTAATGGTTAACCCTTTTGTCCCCAAATTATTTCTTGATAGGGTTATAATTTATTATGGGTATTTTTATGTTTTTATTTATTAGATAATCGAAAGAGGCGAAAGCGAACAAGTAGCTTATTGGTGTCAAAGAAGAGGAGGAAGTTGTTACCTTTCAATCCAAGTGAGGATCCTACAAGAAGATTAGAACAAATGGCATCATTGGCCACGGCATTGATGGCAACCCAGGCAGAGTTCAGTAATGAGCTCACGTTCAGGCCGGGCATGGCCCCGAGGTCAGCAAATTGTGCAGCACTGGAGCATGGTGGAATGCAGGTAAATGAGAAATAACACAATATGTTGTGTATGTGTCACATAAAACTCAATAAAATTGGTGTGGAAGTCTTTACAAATGCGCGATGTTGATTTACTTAGCAAACAAATTGCTGAGAAAGTAAGGAAAGATATGATAGCAAGTGCATTTAACTAATACTATGGTCTTACATACAGTGGAATTGATAAATAGGTTTCATGTCAATTATGTATAGTTGGATAAGACTTTGTTGAGTTGAGTTACACACTTAAGTGAGACTTTTAGGGCTTGTTTGGTTTCAGTGTTTTCTGTTTTCAAATAACTTTCTTTTATAGTTCTGTCTTTTCAACTTTTGAGAATTGTTTCCAGAAAACTGAACCAAGCAAGAAAAGTGCTTAGTTGCTAGACTTTTAGATATGGGAAACATTTGAATTTAATTGGGACTGTTGAAGTTTTCTTTGTCTAATGGCCTATTGTTGCATATGAATTAGGCTTAGCATTTTGGCAGCCTGCACATATCAACAAAACTTCACACTCAGTGCACTAAGAAATAGTGTATTATATAGGACTAATGTTCAATCTGTAATTGAAATTAAGTCGTGGACAATTCCACTTTTAATCTGCTAAATTCTTTTGTAACATTTATAATGCGTTAGTTGATAGTACTATTTTACTAAGATGTCAAGAATATTGCATTTCAGGTTTTACCAAAAGAAGATGCAGAAACCTTAAATTTGTGCAAGAACATGATGGAGAGAGGAGAATGGCCACCGCTTATGGTTGTATTTGACCCTCTAGAAGGGTAGGTAGAATATTTTAGGATTGCTTCTCCCCTCAAAGGATGATATTCTTTTAGCTTTAGTTTTCCGTCTAATTTTAATTTGGTGTGCTTATCTGATTGTAACAGCTTCACTGTAGAGGCAGATAGATTCATAAAGGACTTAACAATAATCACAGAATATGTTGGAGATGTTGATTACTTGAAGAATCGTGAAAATGATGATGGAGACAGCATGATGACACTCATTTCTGCCGCTAATCCTTCAAAAAGCCTTGTCATTTGCCCTGACAAGCGTAGTAACATTGCTCGTTTCATTAATGGCATCAATAATCACACACTGTAAGTTTCATCCTTCCTTGAAGACCTTGTTTTCTCTCATGAACTATGCATTCTTTTTGATGGTCATTGAATACTTAACAGCTAATCATGCCTCAGTACTTTGTTTTTGAATATGAAAACCCGAGAATTATTTATGGTTCAATTTGGTTATAGATCCTTTCTTATGATGCAGGGACGGGAAGAAGAAGCAGAACTTAAAATGTGTGAGATTTGACGTCGATGGGGAGTGTCGAGTTTTGCTGATTGCAAATAGAGATATACCAAAGGGAGAGAGATTGTATTATGATTACAATGGATATGAACATGAATACCCAACTGAGCATTTTGTCTAACCTTAATGTCTCTGATCCCTCCAAAACTGAGGTCAAGTTATTGGAAACACTAAGTGCTAACTTTATACACACTTTCTAATCCATTATCTGAAGTTTACTTTAGCTTTTCAGATGTACAAGAACAACAATTCTTTGAACAGAAAATGGAAGTGTTTGGTTGAATGTTCTCAAAATTAGTGCTATCTAATCTAAAGCTTGTTTAAAAAAAAAAAAAATGGGGAAATGGCTAATGTACAACTTTGTTGAAATTTTGAGAGAATTAAAGCTTACATTTTTCAAAATGGAGACTGGATGGCAGACACTCCAGAATTGTATGATATTCCCATAGTATTTATTTGTTCATTTTTTAAATTTATAATTATCTCTCTTGAATAGCTTTTTTGAGTGACATAGTTCAATTAAGTATAGCAGGTCAATGAGCTATGAGTTATGGGACAACAATCCTCTAATTCTATGGGTTTATTTATTTATTTGAGAACACGCTCAAAAATTATAATTATAATCATAATAACATCATATGCAATAATTTGTGGTTGTTACAATAGTTATGTTTTACTAAAGTAGAACATGAGGACGTAAAGTATCAAATTGGGATACAGAAGTCAATAATAATAAATAAATAAATAACTAAATAAATAAACTGGTGAAAGGGTATATTGTAGAAAGAAGAGTGCTTTAAATTGAGAGATTTGTGTTTTTTATGGTCTTGGGAATCAAAAGTAAATACTCCAATGACATTTTTGGCATGGCAGTATTTTTGAATGGGGTGAACTAATTTTGGGCTAATTTGGGGTGAGCTACTATTACTATATATATATATATATATATATATATATATTTCAGCCCACCTTCACCTACCTGGATCCCGCCTTTGCATGACAGCATTCAAGATGAGGACATTGGAGTCAGAAGTGTTTTGATATTAATTTTTGTTTGTTTTTGAGCAAATAATTTCTCCGAGGATTGTCGACCGTCCAACTTCATTCTTGACAAGCATAGAGAGGCAAGTGGAATTTACATTATTTTTTATTTATTTATTTTTTTTTTTTTTGGGAGTTAAAGATTATTTTTATCCGTAGCAAGAATGTTAGATTAAATTTAATGGTGTGAAAGATTAAAATCGGACTCTCTGGAGCAACCCAACCACAAGGCTTCAAGACGTTTGTTTGGGGACTTAAGATTGATTGTCTAAGTAATATTTACATAGAGTTCTTGGGCTCAACCACTAAGCTGTTGGCCACACTGGACAAGCCCACTAATGAACCAGCTAAGTGATTACAAAAATATCTAACCCACAAGGGGTGATACACAGCCCAGCCCAGTTCAAACTTGGTTCATTTTAATTTTTGAGATTAATGGACTGTGAGAGGTTTTGGGATTTTTAATGTTTTATATTATTATTTATAATTTATTTTTGTTTGTTTATTAATGGAAATTGTGATAAGTTGTTTCTTTATATAACGGATTTTGATTTTCAAGACCCCTAAAGGAGCAGAGGAAACAAATAAACTTTTCTTTGTTGTTTGATTGCCAAAAACATAGAAAAATAAATAAATAAGGGCCCGTTTTGGCATTCGCTTTGTTTTAGGCGTTTTATTTTTGGCTAAAACAGAAACAGTATTTTTACTGTATGAGTGCTTTGGAAAAAAAAAATTGAGCACTTTTGAAAACGATGTTTTGCTCTGAAAATGTCGGAAACAGAAATATGCAAAACATGTTTGGTAGGCGTTTCAAGAATTTTGAAAGCAAAACATGTTTGGTCAGTTACCAAAAAAAATAAAACAGAAACAAAAAACATGTTTGCTTATCATTGTTTTTAATTTGTTTTTTTTTTTTTTTTTTTTTTTTTTTAAATTTTAAGTATATTTATAAATTTATTTCTATATAAATAGTCATCATATTTTTAATAGATATGGTGAAATTTAAACACACAAATATATATATATATATATATATATACAGAATTGTTCTCTTACTCCCTGGTGTGCAAGAAAATGCATGCACACCTGAAGTATTAACCATTAGATTCAATTTGGCAGTTAAAAAGGTAGTTTATGTTTTTATATCCAACGGTGATGATTTAATTCGTGTATAAATTCCTTGCACATCAGTGAGTAGGTGAATAGTCATCTATATATATATTTATTTATTTATTTTTGGCCTATAATAGTTCTCATTACTAAACTACATGAGAGTCAACATTGTAACTTTTTTTGTCCAAACTTGAACTCAATGTCACATTTTATGAAATGATAAATTTATATAAATAGTCATTAAATTTTATAATTTATTTACAAAAATGTATAGAAAGTACATTTTAATAATTCAAATATTATCAATATTTTTTCATATATAACTATATTATAAGTGGCTATAAAAGCCTTAAATTTTTTTTGCAATAACCTATTTACAAGTTGTTTGCAATAACCTACTTCAATTTTATTATCCTGTTACCTATTGTAGGTATAAATTTTCTCTCTATAAAAGAAATTAAAAGAAATAATACAACTCATTCAAGATAAATTAATAAGCAACAAGAATTACTCAGAGAAAAGCGTATATTGCTCGATGATCTTTATTGGAGGACTAAGTCTCTATTTATATACAAAAAGGTAGTGGAATTATGGTAGGACTCGCCTTACTTGTCCTCCAATTTATTCCATATACAATTCTTTACTAATTAAGTTGTAATACCCTGTATTTTATTAAAGAGTTTAGTTTATTTGAATTTACCATTCTTATATTGAGTTCATTTAATGGTGCATGTATTATTATTAATAATTTTATTTGTTGATTATGTTTAATTAAGCATTATTAGTTAATTAAAGTATTATATTTGTGTTATAAAGTATTATGATGATATAATGTATTCTTATGTAATAATAATAATAATAATAATAATATAATAATAATAATAAGAGTAATAATAATAATATAATAATAATAATAATTATAATAGTTTATTAATAATAATAATAATAATAATAATAATAATAATAATATAATAGTAATAATAATAATAGTATTAAATCATAAGTCATGATGAAATTAGAGATTATGATAGGATTTCATTAATGTTTATGGGTAAGACTTGAAGCCATATGGTTGGGAATGTGATTAGTTAAATGCAAAATTAGATATTTGTAATATTTATATTATATAAATTGTATATAAATTAGCTAGCCTACCTTAGAAGGAATGGAAGGGAGTTAGAAAAAGTTATAACTTTTAGTGAGCCATTGTAAAAGTGTGGAAATGAAGAGAGAGAAAGAAAGGAGCTTGGACCGGTATAGGAGAAATTTACCCGACTACGCGTAACCGGCGGATTTATTTTAAATCCAAAAAGGCAAGTTATTATCTACTTTTCCCCTTTGAATTAATAAATTAATTGCTTAGTTTATTTTTATGCAAAGAGACCAGGTTAGGAGGTTAATAAATTATTAATTTTAGTTTATTCAATTAATGAAATTTTAATTATATAGGACGGTATATATTTATTTAATATCCTATGAAATTAATAATGGCTGAAAATAATTAAATAAGGCTTTAGGGATTTTTCTAAAAATTTCTAGATTTTTCCGGGGCTTTTCTGCAATTTCCGGCGAGCCTCCGGCGAGGTTTCCGGCCACCGGCAGTGAGGAAGGTGACCGGAGTTATCTGGTGTGTTGTGGCGTATTGTAACAAGCATGCGCATGGATCAGCAGCCGTTAGATGGGTTGTGGATCCTTAGATTAATACGGCATAGCGCGGAATATGATGGTGCGCACGAATCAATGGCCGTAGGATTAATTAGGCTCATTAAGATTGATCCGGTGTGACGCGAGTACAGAGTCCGGATGCAGCCAACCAACCAGGAAGTGACACGTCTGCAGGAAGCCATGGTGCGCGCGTGGGAGGGCGTGCGCGCGCGTGGCTGATGCCAGACGCGCATTGAGGCGCGTGCGCGCGCGTGAGAGAGTGGAAAACATAGGGCTGCGCGTGGGGGAGCTTAGGGCGGCGCGTGAAGGGCCCTGTCAGCTGCTGGAAATTACCAGAATACCCCTAGGGCCTGTTTTGTAAATTCCAGAACCTTAAACTTGGATTTTTAGGTACTGGGTTGGTATTTACGGGTTTAACGGGCCACGAAATTATTATTTTAATACCCGTTAATTATTCTTATGGCCGATTAGTCTTTTCTAAGCATTTATTGGCTCGTTTACAGTATGGATATTAATGTGATTTATTTAACGACATTGTTAAATATAGATGGTGTTATTATTTTATTAAATGGTATTAATCATTGCTTTGAAATTAAATAATGCCATGGTTTTAGTCATATAAATTATCTATTTTATATTATGGGATGTTTATACTGTTAAGCATATATAAACCATGATTATTATGCTGTGTGCATTTCAGAGAATAAATGGACTATTTTAATTATGTCGCATTTTAAATTATATGGATGTGTTGCCCTATAGAACCCCGTGAACTGGCTAATAAGTTTCGACTCATTTATACCTTATGCATTCGTTGCTATAGACAGATGTGTGGCTGTCGGGGTATGTGGTTTAATATTATTGGCATGTGTTGCCTAACTGACATGCTCAGTATATTTAGTAATATTATTGGCATGTGTTGCGTAATTTATATGCTTAGTATATTCATCAGTACTTTGAGAGGTGTTATCACTGTGTAGTTCGTTGTAGTCTGTGTCGTCAGTACCGTGCACCATGTATAATAGCTGATTTTTCGGGTAGGAAAAGGCGACACTTAACCACCTAGTGTGAGTCTAAGTGATCACTGTCTATTCTGGTTGAGGTCATGTTATACATTGGATAGCTCCTTTAGGATGTATACAGATATAGTACTCGTTCGATTCATAATGATTAATTTATTTGATTCTCTGATTTGGGTCATAGTAGAGAGGACTTGCTCGTGGGGTTGACCCACCATTGTTGTTATTTCAGGATACGGTCAGTACCCGTTCCAAGATTGAGGTTAGCAGTGAGGGACCACCATCCGAACTCATCTACTCTTACGATCCAGTTCAGGGTAGAAGTTTTATGTATTACTTTAGTTTCAGTTTTTATTTACTTTTGACGTTGAACTCTTAGGGTTATAG